AAAAAAAAAAAAAAAAAAAAAAAAAAAAAAAACTCAATCAAGATAAGTTCTGGTGCAATAATTAATAGTCAGTCCTAAGAAGTTAAATTCTGGTGCATATCAATAATACAGTCCTAATGGATACTTTACGTTTCATAGATTTTTCCGAAACCAGGTCAGAATATTAATTATTACCAGCAATCAAGAAAAAGAAGTCCCATTGATTTTTTTCCTAGCAAATATATGCATGGAAGCTTCGGCATAGGTCTTACAGAAGATTCAAATGATGAGTTAAGGTGTCAAAGCCGGAGTCTTGAATAAAAGAACCAACACATACGCTCCAGAATATGGAGAGAGAGAGAGAGAGAGAGAGAGAGGGGATAGGTACTAAAATCAAATCAAATAAAGGGAATATGCGAGGAACGAAATGAGCAGGGAAGATTTCATTGAAGAATGGAAAACTACCGTATCCCTGAAGAACATAAGAACATGACACAACTCTCAGATACTCTTCCACATGAGAGGCAAGAGGTGCTGCTCCAGATAAAATAACTCTAACATTTCCTCCTAAACCTTGTTTCACCTAAAAGAAGAGCATCATCACATCTGTGAAAAAATCTGGCAGATACGGATAAGGTAGAAAATCGACATCCAAATAGAGATATCACCTTATTGAAAACAACTTTGTCGCAGAGTGGAGATGCTTCTGTGTGTTTTTTTCCCTTCCTCATATTACGTAATTTTCTGGGAGAGAAATAATAATAATGATAAAATAATCAGAGAAATAACAGCAAGGGGATCATCAAACTATAAGAACTGCAAATAACGTGCTCAGCTGTGAAGGAGAGCACAGTATCAGTATACAACCATACAGTTGCAGAGTTTGTTTGCTTATAATATAGAAAATTTCGTCATTGCTTGTTCAACAAGGTATGCTTTGAAACTTTGTTATCTTGAAGCTCAAGAAGCCAAGAACAGGTAGCAAAGATTCAGCATCCATGAAATGCAGACTCATACGATGAACTTTGATTTACTATGTCTCCTCCAGAAACATTATGAAAATAAAAGCGAGAACTTACAAAGAGTAAGCAAGGTTGAACATGGTACTTTTTATAAAACCACCTGCAGCAATCTTCTGTTGCAGACCTGAAATAAGAAAAGGTAAATCAGTACAAAATCACAATAGACTTATCATAGTTGATTAGCAAAAAACACGGGCTTCTCTCATCAGGCAGCCCATCCTTTTCTCCAATCCAAATCAATCTAGTTTACCCAGATGGCCAAAGATTTCAGAATGTTTTGCAAGTTGACATCGTAAAATGTAAATTAGCAAATTAGCCATCGACAGGGAAATGGGTCTCAATATCACAAGTCACAATTTAACAGAGACCATCCGATGCGGAAAAAAATTTGATCTGTTAAGACAACACACTTCGGAATGTGTCACACATTATCTCAAAGGATGAGCAACCTAACAGTAAATATAACCTATACGATGATGGATACCGACCTGAATATATTCTATCTAATACCCGAGGAACTGCACAGAAAATAGTGGGTTTAAGGAGTCCAATATCTTCCACCAACAACTTGACATCCTGCAATATGAAAATTGCATGCTAGATCAGTATCCTACAATCTCTAATAAAAGGTAAACTGAAAATTT